TATCCTTATAAATAAATTCAGTACCCTTGCAAGATTCCTCTAACCTCTCAGAAAGTTGTTGAGTTTACCTTATCATTTGGTTCACCTGTATAGCTTTGGCTCTCTATTCTGTCAAATTAGGTACTTGATTTTTCCTTAGGTACAAGCTTAGAAACTAGCCTGTCATTGGTTCATGGATGATGACAGATGATGTGAGATTAGTGAGTTAGGGAAAAGGATGGACTGTATTCCTCCCAGCATGGTCAGCAGCATGAACATGCTCTTCTAACCCCAGAGCCCTCCCAAAGCAGTTATGTCAAGAGATTACATGGACCTCTGTGCACACAAAGGGTTGCATTATAGGAAAGACGCAATGGGCTTGGTGAACTTGTTGCTTTAACTCAAGGGTAGACAAATCTGTTCTTTATCCTAATGGGAGCTGTTATTTCATTCCACAGTATTATCCACTATAAACCAGCCAATGCCCAGATAAAGAGCATCCAGGATCTTATATGTGATGCCTACTATATTTTGGTTAGATGATGACCTCTCCAAAAATATATCACTAGTCAAGTTTCTAAAATTCTATGATTATTGCTTATTTAGAAACAGGGTCTTTATAGAGTACCTTGAGGAAACTGATAGAAAAAAATATTCAAGCTACTTTTGAAGACTCAGAGGAAATATAGAAAATTGTATTTGAAACTAGAGAAAATGTGATTCTTATTTCATCACAACAGAAAATTGGTCTAAATTTATCATATATATATATATATATATATATATATATATATATATATGGACAGCATACAACCTTGTATGTGTGTGGGAGGGTGTGCACGCTCGTGTGCACACGCATGCGCCAGTTCTAGGTTTGAACTCAGGGCCTCCTGCCTCACTTGACGTTTTCACTCATGGCTAGCACTATGCCACTTGAACTTCACTTCCAGAGCCCAGCTTCTTGCTGCTTGATTGAAAACAGAGTCTCACAGATGTTTCTGCCCAGACTGGCTTCTAACTGAGATCCTCTGGGCTCAGCCTCCTAAGATTATAGGTTTGAGCTACCTGTGCTCAGGAAAGCCTACAACTTTTAGACAATGGACTTTGATATTTAGCTGAACCAATTTCCAAACAAAATGTTGAAGGTGTGGCCTGCTGGAATAAAATGTGAGAAGAGGGAACTTGAACACAAATGTGTTAAACAAAAGGGAGTCAGCCTTGATGACTTAGAAAAGTCTCAGCTGATCCTGATTACAATGAATAAAACCAAAAGAAGGCCAGGGATTGGTTCAGCCTTTTGCTGAGCAGATTCATGGACCCTTTCATCTACCTTAGCACAGGCCAGAAATAGAGATGTGGCTGTCCAAGAGAGACCCTTTGTCTAAAGCATAGATGGTGATCACATGCGTTGGAGACCTACAAGGTTTTTAAGAATGTTCCGTTAGCAGAAGCATTGCCATCTAAAACTGAAGGAGACAGAGGCACAAGGCCACTAAAGCTGCTGTGGGTGGTGAGAGCTATGGGTGCTCTCTTGGGCCCACAGGGCGGAGCTGTGAACAATGGAATTTTTCTCAGACCTTGCAACCTAAAGGAATTTTCCTTCCTAGAGATCTAACTTTGGGGAAACTGGTGACTCCTTTATTCCTTCCAGCTTCTGCCTTTTGGAATAAAATGTTCAATCACATGCATGCATATGGACATTTCTGGAAGTAGATGACTTATGTTCTCTCTTTGCAAGGCAGATAGAGAAGAATTTTACCCCAGAACATATCACCTAGAATCTCATTTATATCTGATTTGGATGGTAGATTTCAGACTTTTAAGCTGATAGTATTTAAATGAGATATGAGGCTCATCCTGGCACATAGAACAACACCTACTGCACAGAGAACACGGAGTCAATGTTTGTTGAATGAATAAAAATGAATCAATGAGAAAATAGCTGTTTCATACATTCATTGGTTTTGAATAACGGTCAGTTGTGAATGGACTAAAGAGAGCCATAGAATCCTGAAGACAGACATAGTGTCAGTCTGATATGAATTAATTCATGTGAGAAAGCCATATTATAGACAGACTTTCATGGAACTGAAGCATTGTCCTTTGGACCCTTAAGACACTGAGATGAAAGATATTTATAACTGTTGTCCTTTTTATATCAAATGAATAGGCAGAAATCAGAGACATAGTACATATCTAGCAAAAGTAGAAGTCATATTTTCCCCTGAGGATAATGCCTTCCATTACATATTCAGAATTATGTCTTCATGGGTGTGCTAATTAGAACAGGCTTTGTGAATAAGGCTGAAGTAAAATAGTCCTGCTAGGGTAGGGGAAGGGGCATTTGTTTCCTTTCTTATCCTGATTTTTTATTTTTATTTAATTTTTTGCAAACACATTGTAATACACTAATGGAAATACAGAAAGCAGCAAATTATTCTCACAATTGTACCGCTTGCTATGTTACTATCCTATAGAATTTGTTTTTTATTCTGAGCAGTATATGTTCCTATTCTGTTTTCACCAGGCATTTTCATTCCACCTGTCTTTACAATTGTTGGTTTTTAACAGCAGTGTGAACTTCCCCATCTAGTTTGCATACTACCACTTGTTTACTTAGTGTCCTTATATTGGACATTAATTATGGTTATTAAGAATTAATTTCTTAAGGGACACAGGGTAGACAAATGTGGAGAGAACAGGTGGGCAAGTGCAGTGATAATAATCAAGGTATAAGTGTGAAAATGGAGCTAGGTAAATTGAGGGGAGGGGTGAGCTTGGGAAAGATGGGGAAAAGTGGGAGACATTGGTCAAGATGCACTGTACTCATCAACTGACATCTTGAATTAGATCCTTTTCATACAGCTCCTTAAAGATTAAAAAAAATTAAAGAACTGAATAAATAAAGTAGACTTTCAAAGGCTGCCTAACTAGTGACATAAAATACAAACTCATGATTAGCATCATATTAGTTCTGTGACCCAGACACCTTCTTACAAAACAGGAGCCTACAGCTAGCTGTTGCTGTTTTAAGAAGTCTAGAGTCCTCCTAGGTGCCGACTGTAGTTCTCTTGGAAATCTTAGCTGCCTCTAATAGTGTGTCCCTGTGTCCTGGACACCACTGCACCTGCCCCGGGCACAAAGTCTGAATACATAGGCAGCTACTTTTGACAATATGCCTGCAGCTGCCTGTGACAACATTGCTGTAGCTTCTGAGGACCTGATCCCTCTCCAAGGCAGTGACACCATGTGCTCTCAATTCATGGTACTGTGGACCTTATACTTCATATCATTTGGTCTCTATTTAATGCAAACAGTTTTATGCCTGGGATGCCAACGTAGTGCTATAGAAATGGCCAGGATGGGTACTGAGAGTCTGATGTTAAAACTACCTTGGCCCTTCTTCAATACAACTCTCACTTTGGGTCTTGCTTTTCTTCTCTTAACCTAGGTTTCTCCCTCATTATGGCTTTCTGCAAATAAGCCCTCTGTGGGAAGCTCCTTCTACTGGTTCTCCACTACATACACAGGCTTGAGTCTGCCTTGAGCCATGTGGGTTAGTCCCTCCTTCTGCCAATCATGCCTTAAATATGTGCCCTGAAGCTCTGACAGTGATGCCATGGATAAACGTGGAATGATCCTTCTTGCTACATGTAGATATAGTGGCATGGTTGCGAAGAAGCAAAGATGAACCAAGTATGGTTCTTCATCTTCATAAAGTCTGAAAACATGGTATAAAGACAGCTATAGAAACATTTTATGAGCATTAGGATTACACAGAAAAAATAAACATGGAGTTAAGCTTAATACTTCATGGAAAGTATTAAGTTTTATATTAGCTGATTAGATAATGTGCTAAGTGTAAAGCAATGACACAGATGCCGAATCATAAACATAGTTTTTGACCAGAACAAAGTCACAAGTTAAGATTTTCCAAATGTATCAAAAGAAGCAGGGTCCTGGGGAAAGAATTCAATTCCAGGAAAGAAAAGATTTAAGGGCAATGGAATGAAGGAATGGCAAACTTGTGAGGAGTAGGAACAGACCATTTATGAGTAGAATTTCTAGACAATAAATTTGGGAGATATGAGCCAAACCAAGACTCAGAGCTCATCTACTAACTGGGTGACACTGAGAAATGAAGATGCTTAACTTTCATGATTTCCAATTTCCTTATTTGTAAACTGATAATAATAGCTAGGCTTTCTTTTGCACAATGTTCAAATGAATCAGGATGATTCATTTGGCACAAAGATAAAATCATTGGGAAATAGTAGGATTCATCCCAGCTAGTTGGGAAGAAGCAGTCAGGAGAATAGGAGTTCAAGGCCAACCTAGCCAAAAAGTTAAAGATTCTGTCTTAACCAATTAACTGGATAAGGTGGTTCATGCCTGCAATCCCAGCTATGTGGGAGTCAGACATAGGAGGATTACAGTTGAAGGCCAGAGCCAGGCAAAAACTGTGAGATCTATCTGAAATAATAAGAGAAAATTGGCTGTGTTTGTGGCTTTCGTTTGCTCGGCAGGCATTAGGCTCTGGCTGAGCTCAAGCACCAGTTTAAAATGGGGGCCTGTGGGGGTGTCGGGTGGGTGGAATACAAATTGAGATTCACATTGTAATTTAAACCATAGAGGGGATGGTACTGAGAAGAAATATATTCAAATTTATTTTACTTTCACTCCAAATGATGTTTGCCTCACCAATTTTCTTTATATTCTCTGTATTCTGAATCATCCATGAAGAACATATATTAATTTAAATGGTTTTCATTCAATAATCACTATCCTAGTCATTGAGAAAATAAGACTGAATGAAAGAAACCATGTCTGGTCTCTCAAGAAGCTTGCATTTTAAAAGGCAGAAGGAGATATTAAACAACAAATATACACAGGATGATTCGGGATTGTAATTGTTAGGATAGACAATGGGGAGTGGGGTTTTGTGCTTGATTAATGATGGGAGGTCTCTGTAAGGAAAGCAGGGTGAGGGGAGGAGTGGCCTATTTGATCCAAGATCAATGATGAGGTGCCGAGACCTCAATGCTGCACTGGGAGAATGTAAGAGCAATGCAGCTGCAAGGACCGTAAGCAGAGGGAACTGGACATGGTCAGGGAAGTAAGTACAGCTAGAACACAGTGAGGTGAGGGAAGTTGAAGGAAGTGAGGGCAGACAGATACTTGAGCACCAGACTGGACTCTGTAAATACAGCGAGGGATTTCAACGTCAGTGCAATGGCAACACCCTGGGGGATTCTAAGCAGAGACTCAGTTCTCCATAAGTGTGTCCACACGTATATTGACACATAACGTTAGTAAGGTAGACTTCTAGATGACACAGTGAACCGCAGTTTTCTTTCTTTGTAAATCAATAATAGTAAATGTATATATGCTGCATATATAATAATGTTCATATGCTGCACATATATGCTGCATAATGGCTTTCCCCCAACAGTGGACATATATACGATGGTTAGCCTATAAGAGTGTATCACCTTGGGAGGTTCTAGATAGCTTTCTTTGTTTATGTACACTATATGTTGTTTGGCCAAAGGCAAAATCACCCAGTAATAAATTTCTTCAAATGTGTGCCTGTTTTTATGATTGGATGTAAATTTAATATGCATATATTAAATATAAATATGTATCATTGTCAGTGGTGGGGCTTGAACTCAAGGCCTGGGCACTGGCCCTGGGCAATTTTGCTCAGGGTTAGCACTCTTTCAGCCACAGCATCAGTTCTGGTTTTTCTGGTGGTTAATTGGGGACAAGAGTCTTATGTACATTCCTGACTAGGCTGGCTTTGAAGGGCCATCCTCAGATCTAGCCTCCTGAGTAGTTAGGATTAGAGGCATGAACCACCAGTGCCCAGCTCCACACCTGTAATTCTAGCTTCTCAGGAAGATGAGATTGGTAGGATTTACAGTTCAAGGTCAAATCAAGCAAAAAAATTAGGTGGATGTGGGGGTGTGCACCCATAACCCCAACTATAGTAGGACACTTAGGAAGGATGATTGTGATCTGAGACTAGCTCTGGGCAAAAGTTCAAGACTTTACCAGAAAAATAACTATAAAAGGCTGATGTTGTGGTTCAGGTGGTAGAGTACTTGCTTAGCTGGAGTCAGGCCCTGATTTCAAACCCCAGGTCTGCCAAAAACAATTAATGCTGATGAAAGAATAACTCTGTCACAATGTTATTCAATTACATGATTTCTAAGTCTAATTAATGAGAGAACTACTTAAGCCTATGTATAAATTTATAGTCATTTGGTAACTTAAAAGAGAGAGCAGTGTAGCCTCTCTGAGCTTTGATTGATATATTTGACAGTTGGTAAATACTAAAATAGTATTTGTGAGTGCTATACTACTGGGTGGAGATGATGTTTTCTGAATGCCAGTTAGGACTTTTTTACTTCATTTGTTCTGCTATTGCCTTGGCATTTTATTTCCTTAAATGTAAAAAGGGATTCCCTGGGAAAAAATATTAAGGATAAAATTCGCAAATACATTGCTTTTGCTACAGAGAATTTCAAAATTAATACTGTACTTCTCTTCCTAGCAGCATGTATTTCTAAGAAATATTTATCTGAGCTTTCTGCACTGAAACCCCAGTAGAGTGATTTAGGCAACTGGAAAAGCATACTGACTAATTGGATCCCCAAAGCTTTCTCGTTGGCTTGGAGTGTCTCTTGGAGTGCTCCACAGAATCTCCCCGAAGTTCAGAGGCCCCAAGGAAGAGCTTTTCATCTAGCTGTTCAATTTCTGGAACTGTAGACTTCTGAAAAGCCATGTACTTTCAATGTTGCCCTACACCAGAGTGCTCCTTTGTAAAAGCACTTATTAATGGAACTTTGGTATCAATTTTAAATAGTCCACCGTCTTTAGTGTCTGCATGGATAAATGCTGATGTGAATTCCATTGCCATCTACACAGAAAACACTGTAACACAAATTCCTCCTTCCATAGAATGCAGGACTGCAGTACTGGTGCTGTCTGCTTTGGGCAGGAAACACAATTCACCTTATTGTTTCCTGCTTTCTTTTGTTATCAGAAACAAGAATGTTCAAAAATAAAAAAGAAGTCTACCAAGGTGGCATGCTATTTGCTCCTTATTTCATTTCTAAAAACATAGATTATCATTCCAAAAGGAAAATGAAAAAGACAAGCTATTTTTGACAGTCAATCTCATTGACATAAATGCAAATATATATCTATATCTATCTGTAAATATAGATAAATATAATGGCCATCTTAACACTTTCATTCTCCAAAAGTGATCTTTTCTGAAAGAAAAGATGATCATTTTCAAGGAGCTGTGATAGTTTTTCGTCCTTTGACATGGTCATCCCTGCTTTTCCAAAAGACATTCCAAGTGGTCATGCCAAGATAAGCAAAGCATTCAGAAGAAGTAGAAGGTTACTGTCAGACCCTGCACTTGGGTGGCTTAGAGTCGTACAATGTTAGAAAGGACAAATAGAATGCAAATTGCTTAAATAATCTCCAGAAGAAATACAGTTATTTAAGAGTTTAGAACTTTGAATAAACCAGGCAAGTATTTAAATTCTGTCCTTATTCTTAGCACTGTCCGGCTGTGAGATACTTCCTAGATCCTCAGAAATCTCTGACGACAAAGTAATTAGTAACAATCTTCTGAGAACAAGGATAGAGAAGACAATATAACAGGAACATGAAATGTTTAACATAGTTCCAAGACCCAAAGAATTTTTTACGTTAGAGATGATTGCTATTATTTCTTGGTAAATACTAATAAGAATAATCACAAGGTCAAGCAAGTCTTTTAAAGCAACCTTTGAAATCTATTTTATGCAATTATATTGAGAAACTGTACATAAAGACTCTGTTTTTATTTGTCTTAATAGGCATTTTAAATTACTGTTTGGCATACAATGTTGGTCTCCCAGATGCACAACTATTTTCCGGTCCTTCAAATGAACAGTTTGGCTATGCAGTACAGCAGTTTATAAATCCAAAAGGCAACTGGTAAGAATGTTCTCTTCTTCCCTCAACAAAGTACTATCTACCTGTATGTAATATTTAGCTAATTCTTTGTTTGAATGTATATATGAATATATATTCATTGATAATCCTCAACTATTTTCAATGAATGATCTGCCTTTGAGCTCTGACAAGTACAGACTGGTAATTAATGAGATAACAATAATTTTTTTAAAGAAAGAATTTCTCTGAATATCCCATAACAAATTAATAATGCCAGTTTGACTGTTGGGTTAATAGGTAAATGATGGATGAAGACAGATAGACAGACAGATAAATAGATAGGTTGATAGAAAATATTGTCTTTACTTCTTATTATATGAACTGATATTTTTGTCTTTTATAAGCAGCAAGCTAATGATATGTAGGGATCATTTCTAGATAATGAAATTGCTTCCTAAATTTTCTTCTTCTGCAAAGCTTTGACCATTCCCTTCTTTCTGCTTGTCTACCTCTTTCCATGTGGGAGACAGTCCTTAGAAGCACCAGTGGGAAAGTTACAATCATACCTCTCTCTAGAACACTTAGCATCTTTTATTTTGCCCCAACAGGGCCTCAGCTTTTTAACGTTGGGCAAGGATTACATTTATAGACAGTAGATAGTTTTTCTCCCTGGTGAAAAACAACTGCTTTCATGAAATTGGAAATGTGTGTATGTGCATAATGTATTATATCTATATTTTTATATATTTATACTTACTGCTGGTTTAGGGTTCTGACAATAGTGTTACAAATAAACTTAAGGGAATTAGATGATCTTGAAAATTGCACTTAGGAAGAACCACAGGTCTTCCTTTGTGATTGCCTTGTAGTCCCATCACTGGAATTTTATCTTCCTGTTGAGGCAGAAGTTTACATTCTATCCCCATCACCTGGATTTTGATGTCTTGATCACTACCTTCTAGAACATTATCCAGCCAATTATGATATGTATTTTTGTGTGTGTATGACTGAAGTTCGATACTCTAAACAAACAAATTCAAAAATATAGTCTAAAATCCAAGTTGGGATTATATTGGAGCAAGCCTGTCTGTGTGATTGTAGAACAAAATGAAATCATCATGTGAGAGGGTTGTGTGTCCTGGAAGCATCTAGGACGAGGAGAATGGTGAGGTGGGTTTAAAGTGGTGGAGATGACTGGGCTGCAAATAAGTGTTAACTTATGGGAAGCAGCATACGTTGCATTTAGAAGCATTAAAAAGAAAGTAGGTTGGAAACCCCAAAATTAGTAATTACTACAATCATTTGGGATAGAAAAAATTGTTTCTATTAATTGTCAACTTTTTCTTTGATAAGCATAAAGTAGTAAGAAGTTTTGAGCTTGGAAACTAAAAGATGAAGCTCTCAGGAACCTATAATTCTACATAACCAAGCCTAACTTCCCACAGAATCCAGACTCAGATATCTTTACTTTAGTACCTAATAGATACATAAAACTTAACTGAAAGAAAACAAATATTTGATTCTGCATACTAGTTAATAACCAAAAAGCCTTAGCTCCTTCTATGGTCTTTCTTCTAGCATATTTCATCTATAAGCCAAACCCATTGGTATATCAACAAACTATGAGCTATGTCTAAATACTTGCTCTCATTTCCCTGGTGGAAGCCAGCACCTGTTCGTACAGATGCTTCTGCAGCAGCTTCTCAACCTGTCTCCTGCTTTCCTGTGTCTCTCCTACATCATCTTTTCTCCTGCATTGTCTCTTCCTCTCAGCCTGGAGTTCAGGAATCTTGTTTTGTTTGCTGGTGTGCCCTCAGGGCCAAGTAGAAGATCAGTAACTGTTGAATGCTGTTGGATATCTACTTCCAACTGATTTACAGCAGTAGAAGTATTTAATGACTTAAATGAGACTTTCTCATGAACTCTAATGGGTACTACATGAATACAGCCCATGTAAGGGTAACTTTGAGTTGAGTTTGAGGTTATTCTTTTTCAGAAACATGATAAATTTAAGGAAAAAAGCCACCATTACTAATAGATGTTATGATAGATGAGAAGCCAATTGCATATTGGAAGAGAATGCAACAACTGGCCAAGTTGCTAATTGGAAGGTAAATAAGACTGAAAAGGATAAATTGTTGACGGGAACCTGTCAAGTAGGGTCCTGGGAAAAGGCGATTCAATTAATTGTTGAAAGACAAGTCAGATTCTATTAAGTTTCTCATGCTGATAGAATTAAGTCAAGACTGAGGACACCAGACATCTCTAAATCCTGCCTTGGTCTTCTCATAACATTCCTGAAAGAAACATAAACACAAGACAATGGCTCTGGGAAACAAAACTTCATTCTGTTACTGTTCTGACTAGTGCTTTGAAGGTGGAGCTGTCTGATGATATGCAATATTCAATGCCAAGGGTCAAAACCTTCCTGCTCTCCAGCCGGCATTTAAACTCCATCCAGTATGAGCAGACCCCACCATGTTATGAACCTGTCTATCCTGAAGAGCCAAAGTGTGTAGAGGTGATAATCAGGAAGGAAGAGAACAAAGCTGGCAGCCAGCCTGCTAGTTAGTGCCCCTTCTATGATCCTGTCTTACAAATCAAACAAAAGAGGCCAAGGGCCTCCACTTCTAATCCACTGTAGACAAGGCATACTGTAAAATGCAGATAGTACAAAGTACAGACCTTAATTTTAAGGACCATGGAATGATCACTCAAGAAGACTGGTATGCCAAGCAAGCAACCATGAGTAACAAAATTTGATGCCAATCCCTTGTTTGACAGTTTGTGTGCCTTCAGTGTCCCTAGCTGTATTAACTTAATATTAAGATCCCATTATCTCTTTCCAGGGTTTGGGACACCAGATAGAGAGAGAGACAAGGTTTCTTTACCACCTCTGCTGCTGTGCCAGTATGCCTTGGCTCTAAGGACAAGGCTGTAGCCAGGATCTGGCCACAGTTACACCATGCCAAAGCTAGGTGGGTCCCAGTGAGGACAGGCAGCCTTCGCAACACTCAAGGAAAATAATATGAAAGTCTGGATCCAGAATTGCCTATTTGTTTTGACAATTGGCTCCAGGCCCTTCCCCACTCTTAATTTATGACAATCACACAGACATTATGGAAGTAGCAGATGTGGGAAGAACTGTTTCAACATTAACTTTCCTCTGATCTTAATGAAGTTAACTTTCAGCCCAGAATATGGTAATACTATGAGGTCCTTTAATAAGCTGTGAGTCTTTTCTCTTGAGCATAAGATATGCACATGTGCAAACACACACACACACACACACACACACACACACACACACACTTTTGATTCCTTTGCTTTTGACTCACTGCTTGCCTGCAAGTTGAAGTGAGGTTTTGGCGCCAGTTAATTCTGCCTCTTTTGACTCTCTGTATATCTATTTTAGTCTGTAACACATCTTTCAGTCCTTTATTTACCTCAGACAACTCTCTTCAGGCTCTAGTAGTCTGGGTTCTTCAATCACAATGTTATTTATAAAATAAAATTATAAAATTGTAGCTGCTTCCAATGTCTTGTGTTTCTAAGAATTTACAGACATATTTTATATCAGAATCTACTCAGTTTTTAACAAAGCAATCTGGACTCTATTACTAGTCTTATTTATTAGACATTTTATTACACTTGAAGCAAATAGAGGTGAGATGCCTTTGATAATTCTCAAGAGCCTTCGACAGTTTCAAGCAGACTAGAGAGTTTTAAAGGCAGGATGACTTCACAAGCAAACACCAGAGGAGTTCCCTGCCTGTAAGTAGAGTTGTGTTCTGCTCTTGCTCAATGAAGGCAGAGGAGGACTAGCCTGCCCTGGAGTTTTTATTCTATACACAGGATGTTCAGATGTGGATGATGCAATTCCTATCACAAACAATCTGAGATATGTTTAAAATCATTTCCTGGAGTTGTGGTGATACTGTTTCTGTTTGTCCTTTGAAGGGGTGGCCCCAAGAACAATCTGAGCTCATTATATGACTAAAACATTTCAAAACTGCAGTCACTCTTGTGACAAGGACTGACTGAGGACGGATATTTCCAGTTGGAGAAATTGGATTTCTGGTTCTGCTGGGTTCTAGTTCCTTTAGACGAGAGGAAAACAGAGAATGACCATATGTCATAGAAAAAAAAAGTATTTTAAAATCTTATGTAATGACATTATATTGTAGTTTTGTTTTATTTATTATTTATTTATTTATTTTGTCTGTATGGGGCTTGAACTCTGGGCCTGGGCGCTGTCCCTCAGCTCTTCAGCTCAAGGCGAATGCTCTACCACTTTAGCCACAGCCACTTCCAGTTTTCCCAGTGGTTTATTGGAGATAAGAGTCTCACGGTCTTTCCTGCTCCGGCTGGCTTGGAACCTTGATTCTCAGATCTCAGCCTTCTGAGTAGTTAGGATTATAGCCATGAGCTGCCAGCACCTGGCTTATTTTTCAATATAGAGAAAGTTTACTAATACTCTGTATGTTGTAATTTGATATCACCTTCCTCAAATATGCCTATAGAAACATTTGAAATTAAAAAAGTAATTCTCTAGCAAACCCCAAAGAAAACCTCAATTGATTCTTTGATAATAACCAAGTACTCTTTCTGTATCAAACACACTATACTCAAATAACTCTAGGAGCTTTGTTAAAATTCACCCTCTCTTCCAATGGAAAAGCTAAACTTTGAAACTTTAGGTAGTTTACCTAAGACTTGGGGGCGAATAAATAATAAAGTTGGCAAACTACTTCAAAACAGAGATAAGATGATCCAAATAAACATATTTTTGTAATCATTCAAGGAAGCAGTGGTAAGATATAGTTAGTATTCCTAAGTACGACCTAAATTTTATTTTTACACCAACTTTATAATGCAAGGTAAGGTTTCAGACTTTGAAATTAAATTTTCTATTATTCTCCTTACCCCATCAATCTTCCATTGGCTTTACCACAGCATGTTGTCTGGGCCTGGAAATGGCTGCCACTCTCCTTTTCATCCTCTCATAAACAAAGGTTCCTCAGCCAAAGTGAGGGGCTCCA